TACGCTCAACCACGATAGCACCATCCACAAATTATTCCACCACGCACACGGACATTTCAAAAACGATGCTTACCTCAATACAAAACCACGGCATTACCCTGACGACGTCATCGATTCCGACCGTGATGTGCTGCACACAACCTTCTTCGTCCTCGTCATCTCCAGATAGCTCCACCTGGATGAGGCGTTTCGGTGGAGTTGCGGTAGGTGGGGAAACCTCGTTGCTGCCGTACACATATTTTTGATGTGCTCTGTTGCCATCGACTTTGCACCCTTGCGGAACACTGCCGAGGAACTTGCGCCTCCCCGACACGGCAAGGGGTCGTCGATTTTTCTTCGGGGTGGGATCAGCACCCTGCGTCAACCCTACTCCGCGCATTCGCCGATCATTCCTGGTCTAAGTGCGTTTTCAGCTCGATGGCTCGTCGTAAACGCCCCCCTGGTCCGCTGAGAACGTGACGCGCTCCGTCGCGGCTTTCTCGGGATGCGAGGTCGACGGTTTAGTGACTACGGCATGCACGGCTATGAGTACACCCCCCCGTCTGAAAAGTCCCGCCAATACCGGGAACAAGTCCGATGCGCCGAAAGCGTATCGTAGGGCGGCAGTCTCCTGCCTTATTTTTCGACTACAAGATAGTGTTTCAGTTGGACTCGGCGAGCCCTTCCGTCCTATCGTCCCCGCGAGTTCCTCGCCTTCTCTCGATACCCCGCGTCCACGGAAGCATCCACTTGCCAGTGAAGGTGGGGAGAAGAAGAGGGGTCCGAGGCGAAGCAAACAAAACGTCTACGACGTCAACCGCCAACCGGCAGTAACAGTGTTCCAGGCGACACTTACCTCAAAGGTAGATTCGTCGTGAATGGCGGTTAAAACTCCCTCGAACCACATGCCGTTGAGTTCCTTGTCCCTATCAAGTAGTCATTGACGCGCCAAGGATTGTGCAGGCGTGTTAATTTTCACCGGAGGAGGCGTTTTTGTTTATATCGTCAATGGGCTTCCACGTGAAGCATGTTTGGTGTGTACAAGAGTGCTCAACTATGCGTTTGACGACAATCGTTCGATGTACGAGACCCATAGATAGGTAACCCCGGAGTAGTTGTTGCATGTCTACCGTTTCGACGACGCCAACGTAAGCGCCACTACCACTACCACTACCACTACCACCACCAACGCCAACGCCAACGCCAACGGCAGCAGCAGCAGCAACAGCATAAAAGAAGCAGCAACAAATGCAACAGCAAAAACAACCATTGCACTCATAACAACACGACTTCCAGGCCCAGCACCACCAGTAGTACTCACGCCAAAACATCTACTTACTTACTACCCCGTGTTTCACAGAATATAACAACCACGCCGCGCTCGCCTGACCCTGACGATATCCCCGACACAGAGCTCGTTTGGGGTCTCCACCTCCTCCGCGGCTTTTCTCCAATTCGGGACCACGGCCGATCCGCGCTTGCCGCTATGTCGACGTGAGCCTCCACCGTCATCTGTGCGAGAATGGTTGGACGGGGTAGATGTTTGGCCAGGCCCCCGACATGTGTCTGAACTTGTTTGTCAAACGGCACGGAGGGCACTGAGAAGTGATCCGGAAGTGAGCTTTGGCCGGCTCCGGACAATCAATTACTGTACGCCTGGTACGCCAATGCGCTAATCGCATTTCAAGGTGGACGGAATTATATTCAATCGTTATACTGTGCATCATGCTACGACTCTCTGTAAACGCGCATTTCACCTTGAAAGTTAGACGGAACCATTTCAAAAGACATACTTGGGCAGCTTGCAAGGTGATGGTAGGCAATGAAACTGGCGCAAGAGAAGCTTCTGCAAGTCAATCTATAATATACGTTTGAACTACCATGTAGACCCACATGTTCTTATGCCCAACAATGGGAATGAAAATCAAATATGGTTTTATCACCTGTGTCGAAACCCAATAGTCGAACATGTTGCTATACTTCGTTTCACCGAAAATTGGGATGGAGGGCAGGGGGGGGGGGGTTCCAGGGAATATCCTAGAAGAAATGGTTACCGTCAAATGATTAAACCAAACAACGCCGGTCGCCCCGATAGTCTAATTGGTATCCTCGACAACCGTCTAGTGGCCAGGGTCAAGGGTTCGATTCCCTGCGTAAGCGAGCTTTTCATACAAAGTGAGTTTTTCTTTTCCTTCCTTTCCTGGCCTAAGTAGAAAGCGCTACATGGTTTGCGTGTACACAGAGGGAAAAAGAGTGCTGCACTCTTCTCGCATTAAAACGCGAAGGCAAAGCACTGAAGGATGGGTAAGGGCCTCTTTCTGAATGACCGCGGGCTGATTTGAAGTGAAGACAAAAAACATGAAAAAAACAAAAACAATCAAGGTTCGAAGTTGTTTGGTCCAACACGGGGTGAGCTTTGTGCCTTTCCATAGTCGGGGGCGGGGGGTGCATTCGGCACCTCCTGAGAGCTTTTGTCTGTCTACATGCGCTTTCCTCGGACTTCCAAGCAAGGCTTTCCACTTGTTTCCAAAACGAAAACTGCACCAAATCGCAGAGAATAAAATATGCTTGGTGGAGAATGCGCCTGAAGCCAGGGTTACGAACGAAGTTTCTGATTTTCGGAGTTACTTCTTCCCCACTCCGAGTGCAGGGTAGGGGGTTTCTCGCAATGTGCACACACAATATGGCCCATGACGGGCAATGCGTACTGGACATGTCACCAGACAGCATATGGGACCGTCCGCGTGCCGCAGCGCACGGGAAGCACTTTCGTGAACATCTCGAGGAACCTCCTTCGTGATTCGCGAGGTCGCTTTTCCTCCTGCCCCATCAACCCATCTCTGCAGCTCCCAACCAGCCCGGGTTTGCCTGTCTCGACCTCACCCTCGGCGAGGGCGCCGTCTCGTGCCCCCCCTCCCTTCCGGCCAACCTCTCTCTGCAACTGCCACCCGCGTGTGTTTTTCTCCTCACCGTCGGCGGGAGCTCCGTCTCCCCCTTCGGCTTGAAGATCGCCACCGCCACCACCACCGTTTTCCCGGGCATCCCCGCTGCTGTCAGAGCCAACAAGGTACGACAAGCGCGTGTGTTTCTCCTGAGGTCTGACCCCTGTGTCCCCCCCGCCGGAGAGGTCCCAGCCCGATTTTCGGCCGCTCGAAGCACCGGTAAGGGCCGCGGCGGCCGCGGCTGCCTCCCTCACTGTCACTGTGCCGAGGACAGCACAAAAATAGGCGGGGCGCGTGAAGCTACTAGAATACCCGTCGTGGAGTCATTTCAGGGGAAGTACATTTTGACAAGACAGCACACCCGAGATGATCAAGCAGAGACAAGCAGCCGGGCGGCCTTCTTCAACACAAGCTTGTACAATGCGTTCCCACGACGATGCCTTCGCTGGCCTTCTAACGGTGGGAATTTCGAACGCGAAGAACCGACGAACCCCTCCCCCTCCACCACGACCGCGCTCTGTGGCGATTGATGGGCCAAAATATATCGACGACTTCCGATACACCACCGCGTGTTACTGCAGCACCCAAGCAATTTCCGAAGAGCTTTCCGAAAACATCGATGTCAAAGCACGGCCTTTCCCGCTGGAGAACAGGGACAAGGGCCGCCTTACAACACCAAATATTTTCCGAGGGCTTGTTGGCGTCGTTTTCAGCGCGTGAGCTTATGTAGGTACTGTACAAGCGGAATACATATTGTCTTGGTGGGTTCTGCAATGGCAAACGCGAGTTGTAATGGTAAACCTTCGAGTGTTCGCAACCAGAACAAACGGAGTTTCGGGATCAGTGCTGCCGCCACTGCCACCGTACTATGCGGCCATCCCGATTCGAAACACTGCCCCCACCGTCTCCGCCCTCCCCGTGTCACTCGCATACCTTCTGGTGCAGAAACTGAGAGGTTTTCCTCGTTGAAGGAGCACGCCGCTGCGTCTGCTTCCCTTTTCTCCACCTCCACACCTTGCTCTCCTGTCGCCCCGTTCTTCACTGGCTCTGCCACAGCGGTCGTCTCTGCTGCGGTGACTGCCGCCGGCGCTGTTCCAGCCTCTCTTTCGTCGAGAACCTCGAGCCACGCCTGCTTCTCTTCCTCAGCGAGGTTGTCGAGATCGCTCCGAGTGTATTTATTTTTCAGGTCCTGAGAGCGGTGTATGCATGAGGCATATTCGTGATGCCGCTCGTTGCTAAATAATGACTTCCAAGCGTCAGCGCGTTGTTGCCAAGTCGCACATGCATCACCTCACAAAAGTGTACCCGCTGGACCCCACGACAGGGTGGTACGTCTTTCGTCGTTGCATGGTTGTTAATTCAACAGACGTGCGGTGGTGATGCGGGCGTAGTCTTCGTCGTTGAGGACGAATCGAGCATGGCGTGTGGTAAATAGAGCACACCGTCCTACACATGGCCATACCTGTACACTGCAATACACAGTATCCGAGAAGTAGCCTTACTGCAGGTGGACTAGCCTGTGACGAATGCGTCCGCGACAGTCAGTTGGACAGGTACGGATGCTACTTGTAGCAGGTACTGGGATGAGATCTGAAAGGTATATCTTTGAACACATCAACAGCAAGAAGCAAATATTGGACACAAACAATTCTAAACAACGACAGTCTCTCTTGCTGTATGTAGCAGACGCGCGAACCTCTTGCAGCAAGTGAACGCGACCCACACACAATTGTTCCCTTTGAACCAAGCAAGGCCCTCTGAGAAACGATGATCATGGCCCTGCTGCTGCACTCCCACTGCTCATCACTGCCCGCGGCAATCTCCTTCAACACTACAGTACAAATAACGTGTCGGATATCGTTCTCACGTGCTGGATAAATACATCAATGTGTTTGACTGCCGTTGCCCTACAATTGATACGTGTACACAGTTTCGACGGTAGACTACACAGTACCGTAGACTACAGTAAACCTAAACTCAAAGTCTACCTACCGTTTCCCGTGGAGCCATCACGCGAAGCAGAAGCTGTTGATATGGTGACTTCAGAGCTCACAGTCGTACGTACCTCGTACAGGTCTCGCCTCTCCTGCAGAGGCATGCCCGCGGCGCTCGCACCGGCCCCCATGTTTATTTATTTGTTGTTTTGATCCCTTCCGGACTCAATCTCCCTCCACGTCCTACTTATGAAGGAAGGGCTGTGCCAACTGTACTGCCCCGTCTATGGCTCTCTATATACCAGGAATCCAGGTGGTCAAGGTGGTCAAGGTGGCGAACACTCTGGTGACTACTGCGTGTAGGTTTCCACCATCTATGTTGAAGGTTCGGCGGACGCTGAAGTATCCCCAGCCGGCCTCCTAATTTGCTCCGGTCGCGACTCTCCGTCTCGTCGCCGCGAGCTCGTCGGCAGCTTGGTACACCACGAACTTTGCGGGTGGCGTGTCGGCCTCCTTGTGTAGAGCATGGAAACTCCGCACGAGTTCATTTACAGTGTAAGCGTCTTTGTGCCGGCAATGAACCGCGCGCGATGCGCGGAGGTCGGCGGATGTAGGGCTGGAAAATGGTCAGGAACATATTCCCTGCCGTTTCAAAGGAGTTCGGAACAGATGGCATGTTTTTGTTTTTTTTTTCACATGTTTTGCGAGAGCTCTGAGCGGCTGAGCGGTCGCCACGGGAGCCCGAAACCGAAAGACCAAAACCAAACGCGCTCGGTCAAACACGCATGTCTGTTTGACGTGGTGTAAGCTGATGCGCTGATGGGCCCAATTTAGTTCCTGCCGACAGCAACGCGCGATAGTCGAACGCACGGCAGGAGGGATCCTATCGTGTTGGCTGGTATGTGTGGCTGTGAGTTGGAGACGCTTCCGTCGTGTCCAATTTCGTGTTGAATTGGTCGTTGAACACAGAATGCATGTGATCTTCGGGTAACCGGCAAGTACCTGGAGCGCTGGAGGAATGAGTTTCTACCGCGGCAACGCGGATAGAGAGTACTGTCGTAGACTATTGATTGTTTTCCAATATTGGGACGATGGGAGATGGGCCAGGATGATGATGTGTAACTCCCACACAGAGACGTCCGGTTAGCGGGCGCACCATGCTCATATATGTAGTCAAAGAACGACACGCAACGCTTGATGGGGGTGGGGTTGTGTCTTTTCCTGGTGAAAGTACTGGATCCCGTGACTTGGCCCTCTGTCACCCCAAGTGCCCTCCAGGCATCAGTAAACCGCGGGTCGCTGGCCAGAGAGAACGTGCGCGTTTGTATGGTCGATTGTGTTGCTGTGGTTTGGCCCGCTTCTCAATGAAGTGAGAGTGGCTGTCGTACTGTCTCCACTGGGGACCGTTTGGCGGGGTTTCACAGTAAAAAAAGGGGCACATCGGCACATTGAAAATAAAACAGGCCAAGGTTGGAGCACCAAAGGTTGCGGTAGGTAGGGTGACTATCCGCCTGCCGCGCAATGTGTATATATAGTGGCTCATTACTTAGCGTTGACTGCGCGACTGAATCTGCGTGACCAGAGTTAAACAGGTCGTGTTTGCGAGTTGGGGGCGAAAGCACGAAAAACAGCGGAGCCGCCTACACACGCTGCGCAACCCAGTAGCATCGAAAGACACATGAACCCTAGAGCTCACCGAAGGTGCGACCAGAGGAGTGAGTACATCCCTCTACACCGAAAGATAACGCCATCAGAATGCTCACAGTTGTTAGGAGCAAGAACATGTTCACAACAGGGCCGGGTAACTCCTTTTTTGGGAGCAACATTTGAGGAACGCGTCAAGGACTCATGCAACGGTAGAGAAGGTGCTCGAATCAGAAGGACAGATGGAGCCCGGACGTCAGGCGCAACCCGGTTCTTACTGGTGCTATGCATACCATTTGTTCTGCTGTCCCTGCTGCTGTTGTTGGTTGCGGTTGGTTGATGTCAACAGTAAAAACTGTTCCACCTGTACCTTCCAACACCCGTACATGGTCCAACAGGTTGGAGGGGAAAAAAAAGGCCTTCTACAGGAAGCTTATCACACTTACCAACTGGAATGACGGCACGCTCTGCATGTATGCATTTAGCTTCTTAGCTCTATTGTGGAAGACAACGTTGTTCCAACTGGCAAAACATCACCAACCAATCTCCTACGCACTCCAGACCAAGCCAACAAGAGACCACCACTGGTGCTCATCCGGTAGACAGGATTATGTGCTGTCTTCACATTCAAAACCGTTCCGGTGTCCGCTCGGTGTCATTCTGACATCATCGGTACTGGTCCAACTGACGCGCATGCCTTCCGTGGTCACAGGCCAACTACCCCAATGAAAGGGCAGACGTTTGTAAGTAAAAAAAAAAAAAGCAGAAAATTCTTCCAATACAGTAGTCAGCAGATATCGGTGTCAGACAAAAACACATGGTACATATGTTGCGTAAGCTAGATAACTTCAAAAAAAAAACGAAAAAGAGAGGCGGAAGTGGATCGCGGCCCGAATTACCCGGCCCTCCAAATCCCTTGCGCTGCGTGCAGCTAAGCCCCAATCGAGACAGACCTCTGTGGTCAAAGGTGCTTCGACACAACTACCAACTACGATGAGACCCAGATGATGGTACCGTATACGACATAAGATAACACACACCCTGGACCGATTTTCAAAGCTCGATTACTCCACGACGAAGAGGATGCACAAACGAAACGATACGTTTTCCAAAAGCTCTCGACCGGACGGCTTCAACCCCGCCGTTTTCGGCTCTGTGACTCTCTCTGCTGTTGAGAAATCGAGCTTGAAAATCGGTCCAGGGTGTGTGTGTCGTATACGGTACTCCATTCAAGTCCCCGGAAACGAAAACCAGAAACCAGTGACGGCATATTGTACACACAAGTTTCTTGTCATTGGCAAGCACACAAGATGACCACCCGGCCTTGCCAAATACGTCAGGCACAAGCCCCGAAAAGACCACGCTTGGCGCCAGATACAACACACACAGAAAGACCACACAGCAGTAGTACACTGAACACTTTTCAGAAAGAGAAACAACAAAAAAAATAACACAAGAAACAAAATACAGAGGGAACGGCCCAAAGCATTTGAAAATGGTTTTGTTTTAAGCCTTGGTGGCGACGACACCCAGAGCCAAACCAATCCTGTCGGAACACAGCCAACCATCACGCACGTGGGTCCGGTCCAAGTGTCCAAAAGGTAGCGTAAGCAGCAGCACAGCGTCACAACGACAGAAAGACGCACGCTGCCAATCTTCGGTCGGTGGCATCCCCCGCACCGTGCTAGCGGACCCATTTGCTCGCGGGAACATAAATAAACTCCGCACCGCTCCGTGGGGGACGGGCGAGAACGCCGTCTGCCTCAAAACCCGGGGAGAAGCCCGTCGTCTAGCACATCAATCTTCGGCACGGCCACGCCACAGGCAAACCAGTTCGCCGGCCGATGCGGAGAGAAGGTCGTCGTCGATTGGGCGGTTGACCTGTCCTCGAGTCCCCAGAAAATCAACCCAGGGTGGTGCGTCCCAGTAGCAGGGCCCCCTTGATCCGGCCCTCCGTGGCGACGCGGACGCTGAGCGTCTCCATCAGCTCCTCCTTGGTGGTGCACAGCGCCACCGCCTTGTCGAGGAGGGCCGTCGCCGCCTCGGCCTCCGCCATCTCCCTCGCCACCATGATCTTCAGGTTCGCCAACTGCACAAGGGCGTTCTGTGGTGGCATGCACATAGGGGGGGGGGGGGGGGGGCCCCGGGGCATTTTGGACCCCTGGAAAGGGGGGGCCCTGGGGTAAACCCATTGTTTTTTGC